CTATGTCGGTGGCTCAGTGGTCAAGCATTTGACTTGCAATCTGCAGGTCCTGGGTTCGAATGTAACCTGCACATATCTGAGAAGAAATTCAAAGATATGTGTGAAGTCAACCAACCCGCACTTAGGCAGCGTGGTTGACTATGGCCTAATCACCCTTAACTTAGGGTAGGCTCCGAGCGCCTCGGTGGGGACGTATTGTGAGCTGATGATGATAGTAATACTAATCAATATCGAATATTTATATAATTTAAGTATAATCTACCTAAAGTAAAATTTGTTTTAACTTTGCTTCACGATGTGTTTTTAATAATTTTAATATGGACATTTACGTGTAAAAATCGATACAAATATATATTTAATCCTATGTACTGTGTCTTTGTTATATCGAGAAACAAAGCATCAGAAATCTTAAAAAAACTTTTAATTTATTGAATGAAAGATAATAAAAAATTTGCAAGTTAATGATGTAAATTTAAAACACAAATTATTTTTACGAAATAGATACAAAGATACTCAAAAACAATGCTGTTCATTTCTTGATTTTAAAAGAAAGATTATGTACGCCACTCACGATGCCGCGTCGTTTGCGGAGGTAACAATGTTGAGTGGAAAAAGAGTTAAAAGGCACCCCTCGTTCACTACAGGCCCTCAAGTATGTTCGCGCTACGTTTCTCTTTCGGATCATTAATTTTATTGCAATTTCTAAGAATTTATTCCATCGAACAAGGGATTCCAACATTTTGTCCCCTAGTTCTTTAAGAATGTGGTTTTGGGGACTATAACTATAACATATATTATTTCCTGAGCCACATCAAGAAATGACGTAATTTTTTTTTCTTTTCTTAAATTCATTCTGATTCCATACTTTACAAACAGCGATAAACATCGAAATAAGTTACAACGTTTAAAAAGTTTTCACTCCATAAATACTATTATAAAAACATATTGTTATCTAATTTTTTTTAATTTATGAGGTATATGACAGTAACATTTTGTACGTGCGTTTCTACAGGGAAAATTCAACGTTAACTTGTAAGTTGACTGGTGTGGACTGGTAAACAAAAACAGGAAGGTCCAAACTAAATCACAGTCAGGTATAAAGTACAAACAATTGAAGCTTATGGAAATCAGGGCCCACAGTATTTTACCGGATTAAATACACTAGCAATTAGTGCCGGGTTGCCCCGCTACAGTTATTTATAGCAAAGTCTTAGATTTAATTAAAACATCTTACTCTGAGCCACCTTAAACTATATGTATTTATTTCATGATAGACATATTAAAGAAATGGTCACAATCTGCATATCGTAAATGTTTTGCCTTTTAGTTTCATCATCATTAGCTGATTATACGCCCCCACTAGGGGTGACTAGGCCTTAGACATTAGTTGACTGAGTTTATAAGAACTTTACAAATTAATGGCACTAAAAACATTTTGTCCAGGCCCTAATTATTTTATTCTTAAAAAATTACGAGATATCCAGTGGGATCAAGTCTTAAACTAAGGTCTGATTGCTTGTACAAAGTGTGGTTAGCCATCTGGAACAAAGAAAATGAAGAGGTAAGAGACTTAGAGATGTGAAAGATCTTTCGCCTTATTTCATTTAGAATCAGTTAAGTGTACTGGGATTCTGTTGAAATATAGGAATTGCTTTAGATAAAATTCCAAAGGATTTTGAATGCTAATTATAAAGTAAAAGCTGTAGATTAGCATTACTACAATAAGTATTGAGGGTGGTAGGATCAAGGCGCCATTTTAACGTACAGTTCAACCGTAGCGCCCGCTTCGAATGCAGATTTGAATAAAACTCCGTTTCTAAAGAC